AAAACAAAAGGGAATCAAAAATATAAAACGTGCATGGGAGGGTAGACACCTGTACAGGCTTAGACATAGAATTGATAAAAAACAAACAAACAAAGTTATCAATACCTTTATTATTTATATAAGTATACAGTTAAAATTGAAATATAAATGACTTGTTATACTAACAGCACAAATATTTGCTAAGAGTGATCAGTACTGTTGTAATCAAATGATTTTGACAGAAGAACATTTCTGAGTTTTTTATTTATTTAGTTATTTATTAAAGAAAGGGACAGTGTGAATTAATCAACATATTAACTAATGTGAAAGGTTAGTTTTCATCGTCAGTCCCTTCACCAGCTGTGAAAAGGCACCCAGGAAAAATTAAAAACAACAATAAAATACAGCGGCCTGTTTTTGTACAAAGACTCAGAAGAATCCAGGAAATTAACATTTTTATTCCACGATATCCGACAGAAAACTGACCGCGGGATGTTTTATATAAAGGAAGATTATTTTAAACCGTCCAGCTGTGAATTTATGGAATTCTTACTTTAAAAGACAAATGTACATTGAAGAAAATTAATGTCAAAAACAGTCAACAATTATAATATTTAAACAGACGTGAACTACATAAACTGAACATCTTTGAGTTGTGGACAAAACAAGACATTTGAGGTCGTCATCTTTGGCTTTGGGAAACTTTAGATCAACATTTATCACCATTTTCTGACATTTTATAGACAAAACAACAAAGTGTAAGGTCCCTGGAAAGTCTTTAAAATTCCTGAAAAGTCTTGAATAACCCAAAAACGTCCCAGAAAGACAAAGCTCTCGAGCGGTTGCAGAAGTTATGACTCTTAGGTTCTTAGGTCTTAGGTTCTTAAAATGTCTACATTAAATGTTCTTTAAATGCCTTTGAAGACATTAAATGGTCTTTAATCTAAATTTGTGAGTCTTGATTTCTACAAATATTTGATCTGATTTATTTGTCTTTTAATTTCTTTTAGTCAAAATGAGTCGAGCTCTTCTGTGAGAACGTTTCTGATCTTACAACTCTTTAAACCGACCACTGAACCTTCGACTGTCTTTTTACTTTAAGCTCACACTTAGCTGTCGGCAAAATATCTCAGCTGGTACCGTACGTCGAGATGACGACAGACATCGGACTCTGATGATATTTTAACAGTCTAATAAAAGTGAAGGGTTGAATTTTGTTCTCCGTGCCCTGAGACTAAACGTCGTTATCCTACGTCATGTTGGCGTGAGACGTTTGGAAGATTTTGGTCACAATCATCTGTCGTTAGGTTTCTGTGTCAAACTGAAGTTGGCATTAGACGTTGTCCTGACATTAGATTTTAGTCACTTGGCATCACGGCCTAAATTCATCCAAATATCGATGTCTAACGACGCTGGTGGCTGCTGGGACGGATTCATCTCACTCACTCTAATAACATCAAACCTCTCTCTGCACGAGACTACACATAAACTTTATACATGTGTGCAGAGCTTGATTAATTCCTTGAATTTGGTAAGAATGACCTTTAAAGGTCTTAAAAAGCCTGTAGAAACCCTTAAAGAATCTGTAACCCACACCACGATCTGTCCTTGAACCTAAACCACTCATTTTGCTTGTAAGAAAAACCACAGCAGATCAGAAGGGTTTTATTTCTGCCCAGTCTTGGAAGGCACAGAGGCACAATGTGGCCCCGCTGTCTGGAGCGTCGGACAGGAAATAGCTTCTCCGTGTTGTTGTGGAGGGCAGAGACATTTTTAGTCCTGGGTGTTGTGTCGGAGCCTGTGGACTGAGCTGGAGGCAGAGAATAGTCTGAACACGGCCGCCTTCGTCTTCTGCTCACAGCAGATGATGTTGGTGTGATGCACGTCTTTTATTAACGTCACATGAATTAATGTTCACGTTTAAAATGTGTGTGTGACGAGCAGACGGTGACATGAACTGGGTCACAGTGTTGAAGCCTGGTTGACTCTGAGCTGGATGTGACCACAGCGGGTCGATAGCTGCAGCCTGCAGGCAGAGAGTCTGTGTGTGTGTGTGTGTGTGTGTGTGTGTGTGTGTGTGCGAGCGACTGCAGCTGTACGCTATTATGTAAGAAGCCACTGGGCTGCTATTATTAGCTGCTACTGAGGCTCCAGAGACTGTGTGTGTGTGTGTGTGAAATCACTGATACTTTCAAGTTCACATGTTGATGCAAAAATAGAAAACGCGTTGGATGAGAGTTGCTCCAGAGACTCTGTGTGTGTGTGTGTGTGTGTGTGTAGTTATCAGATGTTATCACATGAAACTCCTTGAACAAACAGTGTGACCTCGAGCAGAACCGATGTCTTTTGAAATCATGAATGTATCTGACTGAACCAATCAGCAGCCTCCACAAGTGTGTGAAGCTGCAGTTTCTCAAACAGCCACAAGGTGGCGTTTCCATTCTGATAAGTGCCTTCTCTCCTCGTCTGTTAATAACTTCCTCTCATGTGCACCTTGTTGGGAGATTTCCAGTTGAGTTGTATCTGCATCAGTGTGCAGTCTGTAACTGGTTGGTCGCCCTCGGCTCTTCCTGAGTCAGTGATGTCTGGCAGCAGAAGAGAGGCAGTGACAAGACGTCAACAAACATTAAAGAGAAACTGCAGGCTTCAAACATCACTCTGAGCAGTCGGTGGACGACAGCACAGACGCTACAGTCATGTCGTCTCAGGGCTGTAACTCTGCTACATGACAGGAATGATAATGAAAAGTCTGGACGGTCTTAAAAAGTTAAAGAATATCCATGAATGAGGAAAAGACCCAAACAGACAGAGGCAAACCTTTAAGAGGAAACAGTCTGGAAGTACTCAGATAACTGTTGTATAGTTCAGTAAAGGCAGGCGTTGCCATGATAGTTTGTTCCCCTGAAACCCCAAAAATCCAGGAATAATGATTGAATATCTGTAAAAGTCCCGAAAACTCAGAAATTTAAGAATCAAAAATAGCATCAGTGGCAAAAAACACAGCTATTATCATTAACAGGTTAGTTGGTAAGAACTGATTAGCTTGCAATATTGTTATAATGTCAGCGTCCAAAGGCAGGAATCAACCCTGAAAAGTAAGGAATAATTTGAGAAGGCAGAAAGAGCTCAGTGATTTAAAAATGAGTTTGAACAGTGAGGATTTACTCTGAAAAAAAAAAAAATATGTATTATATATATATATATATATATATATATTTCTTATAGAAGCTCAGTTTTAATAAGTTTTTATTATTATGTCACAAGAATTGAAACAGTTCAACAACCCTGTGGTTAATGTGTGGTTATGTTTAGGCGTAAAAAGATCATGTTTTGGCTTAAAATACCTGGTTTTGGGGGCATAATCCCCGCTGTAAAAAACAGCGATGTCCTGGTCAAGCATTTTTCTGTTGTTATAGCGCCACCCAGTTGCCAATTAGAGTTAAATTTCTCCAGTCACCTTGAGGCGTCCTGTTCTACATATCTACCAAGTTTAGTAAAAATCCATATGGCGGTTAGGCCTAGATAAGAAATGAGCTCTCTAGCGCCCCCATTTTGTTTGATGGGGTCAATAATGGAGGGGTCCCCTCAGATTATGTGTGGTCATATGCCTACAAAGTTGCGTGGTGATGGGTGAAACCCTTGAGATGTTATACACCTTTATGTGATGAGCCACGCCCTCCGCAATATTCATTGCCTTATAGAAGCTCAGTTTTAGTAAGTTTTCCAACTTTTGCCAAGAGGGAACTTTAGATATTGGTCCCTAGATTATGTTCACCCAGTTTCATGCAGATCGCTCAAACTTCCTAGGAAGAGATCCATTTGAAGTGTTTTTCAAAAAATTCAAAATGGTTGAAAATCTATATAAGCGGAAGTTATGGGTTCTTGAGGCAAATGTGTTCCTCATGAGGAGAGGCATCTCTGTGCAAAGTTTCATGTCTCTACTACATACGGGGCATGAGATATGCCCATTCAAAGTTTGACATTTCAATGGGTTGCTATAGCGCCCCCCTTTGGCCAATTGATGTAATATTGCTTCATTGGCATCCTCCCATGACCCTCTACCACTGTGCCAAATTTCACATGGATTGACCAAGTCAGTGAGGAGAAAAATGTGGAACACACACACACACACACACAGAGTTTTCGTCATTATATAGTAAGAAAACCCTGAAAAGTTTTTATATAGCTAAAAAATTGTTAATAATTTTGGAAAGTCTTTAGAATTGCCCCAAAGTGTCAGATATCCCCAAAAGTCTTCATTATTCGTAACTACTTGGGTTATTAAAGAATTTCCTGGACATGAAAGACTTTTAATGGTTTTTGGGAAAATTAAAGACTTTTGGAGATATAAAGAATTTATGATAATTCCAAAGAGTTTTCAGGTACATTTAAGACTTTTCAGGAATTCCCAGTCTTTGATATACCTGAAAAATGTTTTAATAACCCTAAAAAATCAAAGTTTCAAATATTTTCATAAAGTCTTCATTATTCTTCACTACTTAAAGACTTTTCATGGTTCAAGACTCTTCATGAATATAAAGACTTTTTCGGGAACATGAAAGACTTCTTGTGGTCATGAAAAGTTTTTGGGATTATTTAAGAAGTTTGAGGATTTCAAAGATTTATGAGAATATTACAGACTGCTCAGGAATTTCCAGTCTTAAATAAACCCAGAAAGTCTTTAAAAACCTTGAAAATTCTTTATAATTAAGTTAGTTAAGTCTTTATTATTCTTAACCACTGGGTTTTATTTAATTCTCTTCCTGGCTTTAAAGACCTTGTAGAGTTACTAAAGAATTTTCAAGGTTATCAAAGACTATTTGGGATTATTATTCCAGACATGAAAGACTTGTCACGCTTCAAGACTCATCGCGAATGTTAAAGATATTCAGAAGTTCTGAATAACGTCAGTTCCTGTTTTCATATTCAGTGAAGCGTAACTGGACGACTCCACGAGCAGTCGAACAGGCTGCAGATGTTTCAGGTTGAAGCTAACCAGGCTGTGTTTCTCTGGGTTTCAGGACTGCTTTGAAGATGCCTACGACCGAATACCTGCGTGAGTGCACACACACACACACACACACACACACACACACACACACATACTTACACACATGTCTGGTGTGTTTGGGTTTTATAGACACTGAGTCATTTCCTGTCAACTTCCTGTTTCTTTCTGTCTGTTTCACTTTTACTCACTTCCTGTGCTGACTGGTGGATTTATCTTCTGTCTGTGTGTGTGTGTGTGTGTGTGTGTGTGTGTGTGTGTGTGTGTGTGTGTGTGTGTGTGCAGGGCGTGTCAGATGGACCTGCAGACCGCCATCCAGGAGACTCAGTGTGCTCTCAATCTGGTCCTCAACAACAAGTTCTCTGAAGCCCTGGACCTCCTCAAACCATGGTAACCACAGCAACACATCTGTGTGTGTGTGTGTGTGTGGGTGTGTGCGTGTGTGTGTGTGTTTGTATTGAGTTACACACACTGGTGTGGTTATCGTAAACTAAAGTAAGCGGTGAAAAATACTTTCTTAAACCAAAACTGAATAAAAACGATGTTATTTAAATTAATACAAATAAAATAAATAAGAACGTAAATTCATTTCACTTTTAGTTTTTTAAAATATCACGACCAAAGATTTGACTTTATTTCTCCTGCTGCACATTGGACCTTAACATGACAGACAGGCCGAGGGCTGACGGATCAGGAGGGTTTCCTTCTGTCTCGTACAAATCACCATCTTAAACAGTCTCTTCCATATATTTGCACTGAATTTAATCTCAAAAACACGGAACAAAGTTCATCCTGTTCAATGAGTTATGGGACGGTTGGTAACCTTATGTTGTGTTCACACTGGGCACAAATAAAACAAACGTGTGTGTGTGTGTGTGTGTGTGTGCAGGTGGAGGGACAGTATGTACCATGCGTTGGGTTACAGCAGCATCCTGGTGATGCAAGCGACGATGACCTTCGAACACAGGGACATCCAGGCTGCCATGGCAACCATCAAGGAGGCGCTACATACCTGTCAGAGGTGAGAAAATGTTGTGTTGACATGAAACGTGGTTCATCATTCATGTTCCCCTCAGGATAAACTGATCCTCTGACTCTTCATCTGGCGCCATCATCAGGTCAAAGTTGAATGTGTCCAATACTTACCCATGCTACGACAAAAGAAACTATGGCACAAACACGTAATTAAAGTTCAGTTCACTGAGGAATTTCATCAGGAGCAGCCCAAATACAGACATGAATTTGCACTGGGATGTTCAAACCTTCACATTTTTATTTCCCTTCAGACCGGAGCTGCTGCTGCTGGAAGATTTTCACTGCTGTTTCAATAAGATTATAAATCATAAATGAATATAGTGACAAAACTGTCGGTATTTTTATGGTGCTTCACCTTTAATGGATAAACGACAATATAACAGGAGTGTGTGTCTTTTTTTCTGCAGGTTCAGGAAGAAGAACTCAGTAGTCGGATCTCTGTCCAGTCTGATCAGCAAGCAGTCCAACCTGCAGGAAGGTACGTGAACACATGTCCCGCCCACACACAGTTTGATTGACAGTCGAGGTCTGCAGGAAGTGCAGCTCTGAAAACATGAAATAAAAACAGAAGCAGCAGTAAGTCACTGTGCTGTTTGTTTCCAGAGGAGATGCACGCAGAGATCTGCTACGCCGAGTGTCTGCTGCAGAAAGCCACGTTGACGTTTGTACAGGTCAGAGCTGTCTGTCGGTCTGTCTGTCTGTCTAAGTATCACAATGACAACAGGGCACTGTCTCGTTTTGATGATAATTTAAGATTCAAAGCAAAGTCATGGTCACAGTCGTTGCAGCAGAGGCTGACATATGCTGAATTTCAGTCTCTTCTCCGGGTCAACCTCCGAAAGCATTGAATCCTTCATATCCCATAATGCAACTGGTTGGCGTCTCTGTCATTAGACCCTCCCTACCTGGTAAACAGTGACATCTTACACAACCCCAAACTTCCACTCCCACTATCAGAATACATCTTTAGGCATAATTCTGCATTTACCAAGTGATAACGCAACACATCCAGGGAAACAAGGTAACTCTGCTAACGATGGGGCTAATGAGGCTGTGAGCTAATTTAACACTCTTTGTCTCTCTGCGTATCTTTCAGGATGAAAACATGATCAGTTTTATTAAAGGAGGCATCAAGATTCGAACAAGCTACCAAATCTACAAGTGAGTGTTTCAAATGACCAGTGACCGTGAGACATCATTTACGTGATTAAAAGGACACTGCGTTAACGTGGAGCTCGTGCTTGGATGGAAAAACGCAACATTCAACATTGTAAATAAAGTCTGGATTCTTTCCTAATCGTGTCGTCATGTTTCCTGTCACCCAACAGGGATTGTCAGAATGTGCTGAACGTCACTCAGGACCCGACCAGCCAGTCTGATTCATTCAAACAGTTTGAGGGCGGAGTCAGGCTGGGCATTGGCTCCTTCAACCTGGTGGGTGTTCACTGGTTTGTCCCAGATAGGAGGAGTTCAACTGACTAAACTGACTTCCAGACGTCTTTTCTAACCTTTCTGTCACGTATTGTTCTATAACATTTTGTAGCAGTGACAGTCACAGTGTTTACTTACATCACAGGTTTAAAAATGACCGGTCATTGATTCAGTGAGTGAGGGTATCACATTAACACTCCCATTATCTTTCATTTCATCTGCCACAATTAGGCGTATGTCATCAGCATATTGGCGAACCAGAGATAAATCTACACAGTATAAAGTAGGCATATTGATCTATTGACACTGTCATGATTTAATGGTTTATTTCATTATGATTTAATCATGTTTTCTGTTTCTGGCTTTCAGATGTTGTCTCTCCTCCCTCAGAGGATTCTGAGGTTGTTGGAGTTCATCGGATTCTCAGGAAACAGGGTCAGTACAGCTCCTTTAAAGTGACGCTCCGGCCTGTAGACCTGGAAAGCAGCAGTGAGAATGTCTTGTTTTGTAACAGTTAATGATAACCCTGTCTGTCTGTCTGTCTGTCTGTCTGCAGGGGTTTGGTTTGTCTCAGCTGAGAGAGGGAGCCTCCAGCCACAGTCTGCGGTCGATCCTCTGCGCTCTGACTCTGCTCTTCTACAACACATACGTGTCACTGATACTCGGTATGAAAACATAAATACACATTTAACATATTTTACAGATACAGAACACTTTAACTGTGTGTGTGCAGGACAGTAAAGATAATGGTGTCGATGTTGTGTTTGATCAGGAACTGGAGAGGGGAACCTGGTGGAGGCTGAAGCTCTGCTGGAGCCGTACCAACAAAAATACCCCAAAGTAAGACGACCACACACACAAGGTGTCAATCTGCAGGAAATATAAAACATTCAGCCTCGTGATTCATGAAGACGTTTAAAGTCTCATGAAAACTCACCGAAAACCCTGAAATAATAAGTTATGCATTAATCAGTTGATGAAGTACAAACTGATAAACTAAAACCTACTTCCTGTTTGTGTTTCTTTCAGGGCTCCATCATTCTCTTCTACTCAGCTCGTATCTCCGCACTGCGAGGAAACTTCGAGAAGGTCTGAAACACACAATCTTTACTTTTGTCTTTATATTTATATATCTATAGATCTTTTTATATTTATTTACTTGGTACCTTTATGTAATATATTCCCTAACCCCGAAACATAACCTTGACCTAAACCTAATTAAACCCTGACTGAAGTCTGAATCCTCAAACAGACCTTTTAAGAAGTGACAACCTTTTCTCAAGAAAGTATTCACTTTCCAAAACTGTCTTCATCTTTCAAAAATGTCTTGATTTTCCAAAGATGTCTGTTTTCCAGAGGTTTTGACTTAAGTGTTTATGTCCTCACTTTCCAAGATATTCCAAATTTCTACTTTTCAAAATTTGCCAACAATGTCCTCATTTTTCAAAACTGTCTTCATCTTCCAAAAAACGCAGTTCTCAAAATGTCTTTATTTTTCAAAAAGATATTCATGTATGTTTATGTCCACAATTTCCAACATTTTCTACATTTGTACTTTCCAAAAAATTCCAGCAATGTCCTCATTTTCCAAAAGTGTCTTAATCTTCCCAAAGTGTCTTAATTTTTCAAAGATGTCTTTTTTTCCCCAGAGGTTTTCACTTAAGTGTTTATGTCCTCACTTTTCAAGATATTCCAAATTTCTACTTTTCAAATTTGCCAACAATGTCCTCATTCTCCAAAACTGTCTTCATCTTCTAAAGATGTCCTGATTTTTTCAAAGACATCTTTTATTCTTTTTTAAGAGGTTTTCACTTTTGTGCTTATGTCCTCAATTTCCAACATTTTCTACATTTGTACTTTTCAAAATTTTCCAGTAATGTCCTCGTTTATTATTCGTTAATTTTTCAAAGATGTCATTATTTTTTGTTTTTTCTTCTATGTTTGTCCTTGCTTTCAAAAATGTAAAACAGTTCTACTTTCCAAGATTTTCCAAAAAAATGCCCTTATTCTCAAACAGTTTTTCACTTTTGTGTTTATGTCCTCAATTTCCAATATTTTCCAAACGTCTACTTTCCAGAATTTTTCAAAAATGTTCTCATTCTCCGAAAGTGCTCCCACTTTCCAAAAATGTCCTCACAATACTAAATGTCCTTATTCACAAAAAAATGTTTTTTTTTCTCCAAAAGTGGCTTCATTTTCTAAACATACCAAAAATGTCCAAACTCTCCAAAACTTTCAAAACCTTTCAACTCCAGCTGGTCCTGACTCCGGGAGTTAAAGACTCGTACGTAGCTTTTGGCTCTGTCAGTTACACAAAGAAGTGAAATTCTGATATATGAAGAATTTGTCATGAATTTGAAGTTTAAATAATTCCCTTACTGTTGTTCCTCCCATCACCTGAGTTTCCCTCTGATATCTGTCCTCTCCCGACAAACCTGCTCAGTGTCAATATATAAAACGCACTCTGTGTTTCAGGCGCGGGCGAAGTACGAGGAGTGTATCAGCAGCCAGCAGGAGTGGAAGCAGATTCACCACCTGTGTTACTGGGAGCTGATGTGGACTCACTCCTACCAGCAGGAGTGGCAGCAGGCGTACCACTACGCTGACCTGCTGTGCAAGGAGAGCCGCTGGTCCAAGGTAAACACATGATGTATGATTTCATCTGGAAAAGAAAATTGTAACTGTTCAGGTCCAGTTCGACAACATTTATCCTCCCAAGTCATTTTGTCCCTTGAATCCTAAGTTTTAGTGCCCGGTGTTCCAGTCGTGCTAGATTGACTATAAATATCTGAAAACAAAGGAAATGAGGCTTAATTTTGAAATTAATTCCAGAAACAGTTTGACTTTTATTTATGGATTTATTGAAAAGCTGAATGGTTGATTGAGACTTTCTCATGATCGGTGCTGAAGAAGACTTTTGTTGATTAATTTGATAATATTTTCTGTGAGGTTTTAATAGGGACAAACATCCTTTTGAGTGAGTAATTACAAAATCTGTTTCATAATATGTTTTGATCTTCAAGAAATGATCTTGCATGAATGCATCCATCTGTGGTAGGAGAATAATTTGGGAGGAGTTTTAGTTGATCCATAAACCATAGAAATCCTGTGACTGTGAGCTCATTCAGAACGATGAACATTAAATCCTATCTTTATTTTTTTAGGATAGATATCTGTTGGGTCTCTGTAAATTAAGAGTACATTCTAAACCTGCCCTGTGTGGAAAGTGTCCTATGATAAAATTTGTTTTATATTTGGGGCTATTTAATAAATTTAACTCACCTTTTTACCTTCTCCAGGCTATCTATGTTTACCAGAAGGCGGCCATCCTCAGTATGATGTCACAGGAGGAAGTGAAGAAGACAGGGGAGGACATCATGGAGCTCTTTAGGTCAGTCCAGGGCCTCCAGGGCTCGGCACCAGTCACATGACTGAAAACTATGAATAGGAATTCATTACAAAGTGTATTTATTTGTGTATTTGTGCGTACAGGCAGGTGGAGGGGCTGAAACAGCGCCTGGCAGGGAAGTCGATCCCGACGGAGAAATTTGCAGTGAGGAAGTCCAGACGCTACAAAGCTGCTAACCCCGTCCCCCTGGTCATCCCTGCACTGGTATACTCACACACACGCTTGCACTAATGTTTTTAATTTTAGGATGTTGAAAATGAAATTCAGAGTCTTTTTAAATAAGCTGTGTCTATCAGAAAGCTTTGATTGACATGTATTTAATGTACTCTGAGCAAACTCTTAGTTTAAAGTAAAATTTGGTGACATTTTCACTCTGTAGGAGATGATGTACGTTTGGAACGGTTTCACCATCGTTGGAAAAAGAGCCGACAGCACCGAGGCCCTGCTGGTTACCATAGAGAAGGCTGAAGAGCAGCTTCGCAACGACCCCAGTAGGTTCAAAATAACATTGCTGCTGGCAGCACTCATGCTAACACCTTTTACTCTGAATCCTTTGTTTGGAGAGTGACACAGGGATTCCACGGGGCTCCATCCTGGGCCCACTTCTCTTTCATGCTGTGTATGTAAATGACCAGAAACGTGACATGCAGCAGGTTTTTTTCAGATGTACGCAGACGATGCTGTTTTATACTTACATGTTCGAGCTCTTTCTGTTGTCTCAGCACTTCCAATCTACAGCAGCATGTTTTGAATACTCATACATCTTATACTCAACATTGAAAAAGCTGTCAGATTGCATTTCGTCCAGGACTCAGGAGTACATACATTAAATTTAAATATCAATGGACACATTTGAGAAACAGGTTTCTGTAGCTAAATATCACAGTCAGGATGAGCCTTGTCTTTTACCATACTGTCGCTAAGATCCAACCAAATAACATGACATATGTATCTGTTGCAGATCCGTCAGAGTTTCATCCCGATGACAGCTGCCTGGTCCAGATGTTGAAGGGACTCAGTCTCAAACACCTGGGCAGGTTATTGCAGGCTGAGCTGTGTTTCACCCAGGTCCTGTCCAGGTAACACGCACACACACACACACACATGAGGACATGCAGTTCATGCACCATTTGTCGTTATCTTCTGGAGGTGTGAGAGAGATAAGATAAACTGTCCTATCTGTGTGTTTTCAGTGAGAACCGTATCAGATACGATCACTACCTGATTCCCTTCACTCTCTATGAGTTGGGTCTGCTGTATAAACAACAGGGAGACTTCACCAAGGCCACCACATACATCGAAAATGCCAAGTGAGTTCTCCGTATACATGTACTTATAAACTGTACTTCATAATATACCTAATGTACCTCTATATAACTGTATAGCTTTATATACCTTTGTTTATTTTCATGTGCTTTTATGGGCCTTACCTCCAGTAATATCTCAATACATTTATACACTTTTAATACAGCTCTGTTTACTTGCATAATATACCTTCATATCTTTTTATACCCCTGTATACCATGAATAGCCTTTATACATCTTTATATAATTTCATATACCTTGATACACATCTAATACTTTCATATACTTTTATTTACCTTTTAAGTTGTTTCATATACTTTTATTACACTGTAATTACTTTCATGTATACTTTATTATACCTTTTTTATATTTATACCTTTGTGTACCTTGAATTACCTCTACACACCTTTATACACTTTAATATACACAATGCTCTTCTTAATTCTTTCATATACCTGTACATACATTTATAAACCTCCGTATACAATTATACAACTGTATTTACCATCATATATACGTTTAATTTTTTATTTATATTTCTGTACACTTTGAATTACCTCAGTACACCTTTATACACTTTCATATACCTTGATTCACCTCTTAATACTTTTCATACACCTGTATACACATTTATAAACTCCCGTATACCTTTAAACAACTGTATTTACTTTCATACATGTATTAATATACTTCTTAATACTCTCATATTTTGCTACACACACACACACACACACACACATATATATTCTTTAATATACCTTTAAGCAACTGTAATTACTTACATATATAAGTTAATGTTTTTTATATTTACACTCCTGTACACCTTGAATTATCTTCATACACCTCTATACATTTTCATATACCTTGATGTACTACTTAATTCCTTCATATACCTTTACACATATTTTTTCAATATTTAATATGTATGTATACTTATGTACAACTTAGGTTGTGTCTTGATATGCTTCTTAATACCTTCATATACTGTTATACACATTGTATACTTTCATATGACTTTATACAACTGTATTTACTGTCATACATACCTTGATACACTTCTTGATATTTTCATATACTTCCATATACACATATTTATACATTTATATAACTTTATACAACTGTATTTACTTTTCCTTTTAACTTAATAAACAGTTTTATTTATATATTTATACCCCTGTATACCTTGAATAACCTCTACACACCTTTATACACTTTAATATAGGTAAATGCTCTTCTTAATTATCTCCAATAACTGTATAAACTTTAATATATATGTTTTTATTGTTATATTCATATTCATGCATACCTTGAATTACCTTTATATACCTCTATACATTTACATGTACCTTGATGTACAACTGAATGACTTCATATACTTTTATACACATTTTAATACTTTCATATACAATCATATTTACCTACATATATACGTTATATTTTTGTATTTACACACCTGTACCTTGAATTACCTTTATTCACCTCTACAGACTGTCATATACTTTGATGTACTTTTAAATAGTTCAGTATACATGTATATACATTTATACCCTTTAATATGTATTTATACACCTCATATACCTTTATACATATTTGTATTTATTTCATTTACAGTTCCTCTGTACACATGGATATATACTTTTCAGCAGTTTTTGCACCTATATAAACCCTTGTGTGTCCATTTATATGCCTATGTTCACCTCTTCTTTACACGACTCACAGTCCCTGTGTGTACTGTACCTCCACACACTGCTGTACACCTCCTCCGTGAGTCTGATACCTGTCTGACCTGCAGGTGTTTCTGATTTGAATGTGATATCTCTGGTATTTGGCCAAAGGGAAAATTCCAGGCATAACTTCAAGTGTACAAACAGCCTCAGGTTTTCTTCGAGGCGCACAGCTTCACTAGACACAAAGACAGTTCTGTTTTTAGCTTCTTAAATCTGGACTGAGCACAGGCTCAGGTGAGTTACCTGCAAGACGTGCAGTGATACAACATTTGTGTTCTTTTATCTACAACTGTGTGCTCTTCATCAGGATGAACTACAAGGACTACTCCATGGAGTCCAGACTGCACTTCAGGATCCACGCGGCCCTCAACAGCCTCAAAGGATCACCTGTCAGCACCCCATAATACTCTACGACAACTCAGACGGCAGCTGGAAACATCAGTGTATGAATCATGAATCCAGGGATCTCCTCTCTCACTCAGCTGAAGTAAAGCGCCCTTCAGTGAAGAAGCTTGAAGGTGTCGGCCGTTCGATGTCCACCAGGACTCTCCTCTCCTCATTGCTAGCAGCCTTATCTTCTATTTAAATGTTTCCTTATTTATTTTTTCACACAGTGTGCAGACAGATGAGATTATTTAAGCGCCTCCACTCAAACAGGCTTGGGCTTCCCGTCAGCTAATACACAGCTTTAATTTGCAGACGCAGCGCCATGGTTCAATGCCAAATGTCAACTTAATCAACACGCTAAGAGTTAATGATCCTTGATCGTCTGTAAGGAGACGATAAGACATGAGGAGCTTCACTCAGAGGGCTCGTTCACTCAGAGACGCTTCAGGAGACGACACAGCTGCTCTTTGATATAAAAGCACAAGATAGGAGGTTTTAGAAAAGACGCAGCAGGATCGGCCGTCACACTGAGACGGGAAACTAGTAAGCGAGGAGAGATCTGGTGAAACCAACCTGACAGATGTTTAACTGACCACTGTTCACCTCCTGCAGCTTCTGGCTGAACGAGCCCTAAAATTAAAAACTGACATCTAAACTACCAAACAAGTCATGGCCTTAAACTGCTTCTGGTTTTGTATGTGCTCAGTAAACTGTATATTTTTAGGACAGAATCAAAAACATTGACAGATGAGTATGAGGAGCAGGGAGAGATGTGTGTGTGTAGGAACACACAGTATATATATATATATATGCTTTATTCTTTCTTTACTTTGCCTTTTTCTTTATGATTTTATAATAATACATCACACCACACATGCACACAAACGTGCACACGCAATCACAGCCTTCTCACCAACCGTGGCTTATCCAAACACACACACACACAACATGATACACTCATTCCAAGCTTGCACATACTGGGCAATACGCACATTTAAAAGAGAAGCAAACAGCTGTAAACGCACACATTTAGCAGCAATATGACTCCGTGCTGTTGGTCAGTGTGTCCGTGTGTGTCCATGTTTGCACCGTCAGCTGTTTTATTTCTGTCTCATTCTTTGAGGGAGATTTTCTTTGCCTCTGATAAACGTTTGCACGACTCAAACTACACTCACTCCACATTAACTCAACCGTCTGTTGACGGAATACTGAACATTCATCTCAACAGTCGTCGTCAAGCTGCTGACGTCCAGACTGTGGGAGACGGATGGCTTTAGGGAGATGGCCTGTTTTTTGTTTTTTTAAGTTTTATTATATTAAGTTGTATTTTATTATATATGATAAATTCTATAGATCAACAACAAACATGAAGAGCAGTTATGTTAGTGTCTGTTTATGGATGTAGACATTTTTAAAAAGCACAATCCATGATCTTCAGTCAGCACCTTGGATACGGTTCACTTCTCATTTGGTTTCACATAGTTTGATACTTTTTACTTTTACGTTAGCACAGTCTCACGATGCGTGAAATGGACACAAAGTTTTAAGAACGCATTAAGTGGTGGTGGGCAGGAAATGCTGGCAACATGAGAACTATGTCAGTGTGAGTTCTTTTACGAATGAAGAAAACACTTGGTTAGATTTAGGGAACAAAAAATACTTTATTTTGTTTAGTTTAGAAAAAAAGATAATTTCAGTTAAAATAACTACGTACAGGATGTAAGTGACATAAAAGTGTGTATTTTGCAGTTACCAATGATTATACTTTACAAAGATAGACGATGTGTCTTCACTTCTTCCCAGGGTACAAAAATTAATCCAAAATATTCCAGATATGGCTGCAGCTGGAGCCAGAATTGGCACGGTGGTGTCAAGTCACCGCCGTCCAGCCAACACCGACTGGCACAGGCAGCTGTAGGGCTGAGCAATATGGAGAAAATCAAATATCACGATATGTTTAACCAAACACCTCGATATCAATATGGCAACAACATTGTAGGGCTGACTGTTGGTGCTCTGACCAAATATTTAAACAAGATTTTACGATACGATTTTAATAGAGATAAATAACCATCAGTAATATGGATGTAATGACTGAGTAAAGGCAGATAATAGAACGGCTACAACAGTCTGATGAGTTCAGAAAATTACATCACTTTACTTAAATAGAGCCTTGCCATATCTAAAATCTAAGACATCTCGTGATATACTATCAATATGTTGCCCAGTTGATGATCAGTTATGATCAGACCTCGTCTTTATAGCATCAAATAACTCAAAACATCAGTGTGATAAGAATTATGTTTTGATCCTTTAGTTTGGCCCATGTCCCGTCCACTAACACAGAGGGAGCAGGGTTTATGACCTGTACTGCAGCCAGCCACCAGGGGGCGATCCAGATGTTTTGGCTTCACTTCTGGGGAACTGTCATGTCGTCCATCTTTATAAACGGCCTGTTTTAGTTACATAAAGTACTCACGTACACTTTACATAATTACATAAAGTCCGTAAAGTTATGTAACGTTGACTTTTGGTTTCACACGGGACACGAGCAGAAGTCTCCTGGGTGAAAGTCCATGTTTGTGTGACCCATCCACCACACCGCCCACTCACCCTGCACCGACTGTCTCATTTTTTCCATTTGATTTTTTCCACATGACTCCAACACATTCGGTGCCCACCACCAGGTTATGCATTATTAAGACTTTGTTTCCATTAAAAGTCTTTCTATGAGACTGTGTTGGTTACATACATGATATATTACCTCAATAAATATTTACTGTATGTCAGACTCAAACGGTACGTTAGTTTATAGCAGCTGGATTTGTGGCTTTGAAAGATGAAAATGCTTTTATCTCCAAAAAGGCAGAACAAGTTTCCCCTTTAAACATTAAATATTGAACTCAGTACATCAGATAAAACAGTGTCACATTGATTGGAGGAGTTTTGTCAGTCAGTCCCAAACAGCAGCAGAGTTCTCTTAATTTCATCTTTGCTCTATTTCAAACATCCGGAGCAAAGGACGCACTCGTCCTTGGAGTTGTGTCCAACTTGAATCAATGAGTGGTAACAATTAGCCTTCTCTCTATAACGAATGTATCAACCGAAAGACCAAATTATATACGTGTGTCTTGCTGTACGTGTCTTTTGTTTTTCATGTGTACTTTGTGCCTGTTGGGGTGTGATCTTTCTTTGTGTGTTTGTGTGATCTGAAACTTCCGAACAACTGAATTGGCCAAGTGCAGAAAACATTCATTTGTGGTAAAGTCGATAACAGACCAGAGTCGTCCGTCTAAAAGAGATGTGGCAATAAATGTGTTGATGTCCCAGTAGTGCCCCGTACTGCAGGACAATGCTCGATCAACTTCTAATGCTAGAAAACTGCCGGTGGCTAACGCTGCTAGTTAAACAAGGTTTTGAACAAAATTTGACTCAGTGAATATTTTAGATAACTCACCAACCGTTCACGTCATCGGTTTGCTATTACGTGATTGATTTAACAAGCTGTGGCATCTTAGCATCGCACCCTTAGCTTGTGCTACGGTATTAGCATGTTGCCTGCTAAATAATATGCTAATATATTGTGCCTACTAGCATAGAATATTTTAAAATGTTAGCATTAGCTCTTGACGTGTTTGCTCATGTGTGCATAATACTAGCTCGTGTTATCATTACATTCGAGTCACAGAGCTAACGTCTGTTTTTCTGGAGGACAGATCTCTTTCATTTAATGACACTTAGCACAGGTTCAAAGGTGTGTCCAAATCCACAAGGAAATAATAAAGATATTCTGCTCACTGTGCGATAATAAAGATTATTAACCTCTCGTTATCCAAACAAAGATGGTAGCTGGAAGTCCTTGCTTATTTTTACACATTATTGTGTATTAAAAAAGAAAAGTTGGCTTTACCCCAAAAACAAGTCCCGGTTTTCCAAAACTAACGCTACACTCCTGCTTTAAGATAAACCATATTGCCAAAATTTCTTTTCGCATTTTACCTTTCTGTAAGCCACAAATTTGTTACATTGTGGTGAGGTTTAGGCACAAACGCAACTCAACTTATGGTTTGGAAAAGATCATGTTCTGGCTGAAACCACTCAAGTGTGGTGGCACAACAGTCACTGGAAAAGCAGGGACAGGGCGGTAGAAAAAACACCCGGGTTCAGTGGCTCAGACCCTGCTGGGAAATGCTGCAAATAGTTGGTATAAACAACCGGGACAGGTGACTCAAACACCCCTGAGAAATGCTGCAAATGCTCGGTACTAACACCTGGGACAGGTGGCTCAAACGCCACAAACAGTCAGTAAAACACCCGGGATCAGTGGCTTAAACATCACTGAGGAATACTGCAAATGGTCAGTGAATTCACCCAGGGTAGATCAGGCTCACACGCCACCAATAGTCTAAGAACACACAGGGCTGGTAGCTTAAACGGTGCTAAGAAATGCCACGAAGGGTGGGTGAAAAAACCAGTGGGATTGGTAGCTCAAATGCCGCTGAGAAATGTTATGAATAGTCGATGGAAAACACTGAGGTTCAGTGGCTCAAACGCTGCAGAGAAATAGTCGGTAAAAACACCCGAGACAGGCGGCTCAAACACCACAAATAGTCGGTAAACACAGTCTGGATCAGTGGTTTAATCGCTGTAGAGAAATGCTGCTAATACACGATAAAAACAATCAGGACAGGTGCTGCAAACGGTCAGTAAAAACACCCGGGATCAGTGGCTTAAATGCTGCCAAGAAATGCCATGAAGGATGGGTGAAAAACAAGCAGGATCTGTGACTCAAATGCTGCCGAGGGATGGCACAAACAGCACAAACAGACCGGCTTCTATGGCTAAAACGCGGCTAAAAAACGGCACCAACGATCGATGAAAAACACCTTTGGTCTGCAGCTAAAACTTCGCCTAAAAGGGTCGGTAGAAACACTGAGGCTCGGTGGCTCAAATGCTGCTGGCAAACTGAAACTGACTGCATGGAGTGTTTGTATTTTCTGCCAAACAACGCAAGGAATTTTCAGACTAACCAGGCTACGTAAATTTGGGCTGTCCGTACGTCACTTTAGGGATGTTGATTGGATTTCGTATAAAACATACAAATGTGATGTATCCATGGCAACCCTTTCTTCTGGTGACGGGGCTGTAAAGAAAGGAGAGTAGCATTATTGTAGCTGCCTCTAAAACTTCTACGTTTTCCTCTACGTCGTACGAATCAGACGAGGTAAAGATTCTTTGACTTCCGGCTGATGTCTTTGTTGGACAAAGACGTAGAGTCGTAATTTAATAAATCTGATAAACAGCGGACGGAATATTTTGGATCCAGATAGTCTGACAGATAGTGCTGTTAAATGACCCTCAAGGATTTGTCCTCCAGATGTGACCGATCCACATTAAAGATTTCATCATCGTCACTCTAAAGATTTAAAGTTTTGGATGTTTTGGTGTCTTTTGTCACGGCCTTTCTCTGTGGAAGGCTTTGGTTCAGCTGTTCATGTCGGTGCCTCTGTGCGTCTCTGTTAAACTGTATGAACTCTCTTTTCTGTATGATATGCATTGCATGTTTTTCTTCATTATGTTTAATCTTTATTTTCTAATATAAGACATGACTGTATGTGCTTTACGGCAGGAAGTGATATGACCCTATATTACAGGCTTTATGGTTCCAGGTGGTGATCGACATGGTGCAATAAACTGAAAACAGAAGGATAATTGTTCATTTTGAGTGACGTGGCCTTTTTCTTTCATCACAGCTGTTTCTGTGTTCCTGTGCCTCTTTGTGTCCTCAGCCTTGAAGTTTAACTTGTGTTTAGTTGTCTCATCGTTCACACAGTGACATTAACATATTTTTAAAGCAGTGATCCAGGATATGTGGAGTTATACTCACATCACATTCTGATGAAAATAATAACTATTCATATTGTCTGTATTTGTGTGTCTGACTTTACAAACAGCAAAGACAAAGATGTGTAATCATACTTCACAAAGTAATCATCACAAACCATAAGTTCCCACTGATTGAACAGGAAGTTGTCAAACTCTAACCTGAACTAAAGTCTTTCTGAAACTGATCTGTCAGCTGACCTTCTGACCTTTCAACTTAAACGCTAGGAAAAAGGTTGGCACTGTTTGTTTCTGCAAACCAAATAACATTGGTACATTATTATATCACATGCATTGAAACAGTTCAACAACCCTGTGGTTAATGTGTGGTTATGTTTAGGCGTAAAAAGATCATGTTTTGGCTTAAAATACCTGGTTTTGGGGGCATAATCCCCGCTGTAAAAAACAGCGATGTCCTGGTCAAGCATTTTTCTGTTGTTATAGCGCCACCCAGTTGCCAATTAGAGTTAAATTTCTCCAGTCACCTTGAGGCGTCCTGTTCTACATATCTACCAAGTTTAGTAAAAATCCATATGGCGGTTAGGCCTAGATAAGAAATGAGCTCTCTAGCGCCCCCATTTTGTTTGATGGGGTCAATAATGGAGGGGTCCCCTCAGATTATGTGTGGTCATATGCCTACAAAGTTGCGTGGTGATGGGTGAAACCCTTGAGATGTTATACACCTTTATGTGATGAGCCACGCCCTCCGCAATATTCATTGCCTTATAGAAGCTCAGTTTTAGTAAGTTTTCCAACTTTTGCCAAGAGGGAACTTTAGATATTGGTCCCTAGATTATGTTCACCCAGTTTCATGCAGATCGCTCAAACTTCCTAGGAAGAGATCCATTTGAAGTGTTTTTCAAAAAATTCAAAATGGCGGAAAATCTATATAAGCGGAAGTTATGGGTTCTTGAGGCAAATGTGTTCCTCATGAGGAGAGGCATCTCTGTGCAAAGTTTCATGTCTCTACCACATACGGGGCATGAGATATGCCCATTCAAAGTTTGACATTTCAATGGGTTGCTATAGCGCCCCCCTTTGGCCAATTGATGTAATATTACTTCATTGGCATCCTCCCATGACCCTCTACCACTGTGCCAAATTTCACATGGATTGACCAAGTCAGTGAGGAGAAAAACGTGGAACACACACACACACACACACACACACACACACAGAGTGTTCATCATTATATCGTCAGTGAGCAGGTGACTCGTCCATCGATCAGGAATGTGGACCACCATGATCTGATCTGATCGTTGGTCAACAGTGTCAATAAATGTCTGTGTCTTTGTTTATTTCCAGATCGGACATGTAAGTGAATGCAAACAAAAAAAATCCACCATTTTATTTGGGCTGGACTGAAGCCGGTGCAAAGTCTGAATGTTTATGATTACTCCTCCATGAAGACATGACGTCTCTCTGTGTGTCCGTCCCAAACTCAGAACCAAATGAATCCATCTGAGCTCAAACTCTGCTTTAAAACTGTTCTGTCTCCTTCAGCCCAGGTGAAGGTTGGTTGTTATAGATTTATGATAAATCACAATCACCACATCATCATCCCAGTTTGGCAGCAGCTCAGAGCACAGAGCCTTCTGTCCTCTGGACACAGTGTTGAACATTAACTACACAGATGTGATGAAATTCATGACTCTCATTCCAGGTTTTATCAGGTGCTCCATTTCCCAGCAGCTTTAACCCTTTAAACACAACATGGATATGAATGCAGACCATGTTTCAGAACATACATGTGGAAAATCATGTTTCTTTTGAACTTGGTCTCACTCTGAAGTCGTCGAAAACTGGCGCTTGGTCTGTGATTTGTTGTGTCAGGCACCAGCGTAGAATGCCCTCCATAATATGTGGCTGATCATAGTTATTGTTTAACGGACTGGACGGGACAACAGCGAAAGTTAAGGTGGCGGAAGTGCAAGTAGGGCGTGCAGGATGGGTCACACGAGGCCACTGATCACTTCCTGTAAGACTGTAAGGCCAAACCCTGGTCTTTGTTCCTAATCTCAACCACAGACGTAGCGACGTAGTGCTTTTATTTTGAAAGAGACTGTATGCAAACTGTACAGACAATGCATGTAACAGGCTGAAGTTGACACAGCGTCCCAGAACGTCAACAACCAACACACCCAGGGTACCTTGGACGTCATATGTGGACATGGAAAGTCCATGACCAAACGTGGACATGTGACGAGGTCACAGTGAGGACGTGTTCTTGTCCTGCAGTCTGGCATCGTAGATTCTAACTCCTACAATACCCATGAGTCTTTGCTGCCGTTGCTGTGGAGAAAACAACAATCAGAGGTGCGAATCAGAGCCGTAGCAAATTAAAGGGTAGCTTACGTATTTTTCAGCCCTGTTGTTCCATGTTTTTGTGTCTAAGTGACTAATTGGCACAAGAAGTTTTGAAACAGGTCCAGAGAGAGAGTGCTGCAGCTGGCAGCCATGAAACAGGCTGCAGTGTAACCACTGACAGGCTCAGACTGTTATTCTAAGTGTCTGACAGCATGATGAAAGGATCCCTACAGAGACAGAGCTCTGTGGTGAAGAGGAAGATCATTTTTGTTTCACCAGAAACAGCCCTGAAATCACCATCACCAAACCCACCAGACCAAAATGCAGATCTCAAAACCCAGAAAAGAACGGAAATCTCTGCTAGCTGCTAGGCTAATGTAAACAATGTAAAATGCCATAGACTTGTGCTAATAACGTTAGCATGTTGTATTTGTGGGGAAAATGTGTCCAGATAAAGACAAGTGTTTTTCTGTGAATGCTGCGAGTTATAGTGAAGCTGATTTGTGTTTGAAACTGTCTCTATTAAGCCATGTTTACTGTGTGTTTAATGTGCGTTTAATGTGTGTTTAATGTGTGTTTAATGAGTGTTTAATGTGTGTTTAATGTGTGTTTAGTGTGTGTTTAATGTGTGTTTAATGTGTTTAATGTGTGTTTAATGAGTGTTTAATGTGTGTTTAGTGTGTGTTTAGTGTGTGTTTAATGTGTGTTTAATGTGTGTTTAACGAGTGTTTAATGTGTGTTTAGTGTGTGTTTAACATGTGTTTAATGTGTGTTTAACGTGTGTTTAATGTGTGTTTAATGAGTGTTTAATGTGTGTTTAACGTGTGTTTAACGTGTGTTTAATGAGTGTTTAATGCGTGTTTAGTGTGTGTTTAATGTGTGTTTAACGTGTGTTTAATGTGTGTTTAACATGTGTTTGTTTAATGAGTGTTTAATGTGTGTTTAATGTGTGTTTTGAATCAACTTTACAGCACTTCACAGAAACTCTGTCGCCATCTAGTGTTTGGAGGTGTAACTGCAGAGTGACACACCACTGCACAAGTATAAATGCTCACAGCAGCGTAGGCCACATGTGTAGGCTATGCCACACAAGTATAGATCCTCCTTACGCCTGACAGTTATCACGCCGTAGAGCAGGCTATTTCAGCAGTATCAGTTACCATGGTTACTGAACAGGGATTTATATAAGCCACAGTAATGAAATGTACAGTGTCAGTGTCTCTGCCGCATAATGACAAACACACGTGACGTATCCGTAGTTTAATGCTAACATTAGTTCTGGTGACTGGGAAGTTTTCGCACATGCTCAGATAGACGGTAACAAAGATCCAATATTTCATTCAAATGTCAGGACACAGTGTGTGTGTGTGTGTGTGTGGGGGGGGGGCGGTCAGCACTGACAAGACAAGCTAATGATTGATTGGTGACATCATCAGTGTGTCTCCTTTATAAAGAGAAAACTGTCTGACGCTTCAGGACAAACCTTCAGTCTCTTACATCAAAGAGGAGAATAAGAATATTTTTTTAATCAGCTGAAGGTAAAATAGTTTTGTCCAAATCTTCAGAGGAAACCAGTCGGTCCATGTTTGAGTTTGTCATGATGACATCAGCCGGAGTTTGTTCTCTCGTTCTGTCTGTCCTCGTCTCTTCCTCCATCACGGTGAGTTCACTCTGGTGTTTAACTGTTCAAGGCATTTTAGTTTTAAATATTTGGGACTATTATTTGTTTTTATTTCTGTCCTCAGGTCAGATTTATGCACATGAAGCTGAGTACTGTGACAATATAATGCAGCAGTGTTCAATAACACCACAGTCAGGAGTCACTGAAGGGCTGAGTAACTTAACACGTCAGTATATGTTAGAGAGTAGCACAGTATATTCACAGTGCATTAAACCGAATTACAAAACATTGTATGGAAGCTGTAATGGGCCAAACATATCTATTTATATTCCTGACATTAATTAATAAACATATGTGATAAGAGAGGTCAACCAGCTGCTGTAAAGTTACAAACATAATTAAGTCTATACATTAATACATATAATACAAACAACTGTTAATTAAAGTAATAAAAAATGGAGAGTGAAATATTAAGCTTTATACTTTAAAATGCAAAAGGTTTTTATGATTAACAGACAAATTATTAAATAAATAAATAAACATTAGCTTCATAGAGTAAAACAAATGTGTGTTCATGTTTTTTAACAACTGATTGGAGCTAAAGGGAAAAGTAAAAAGCTTTAAACTTCTGTTGACATTTTGATTAACAGTATTATTTACTGACGCACTCAGTCATATTTTTGACTCGTCTGATCATATTTTGCTGTGACAATGTGACAACCCTGATTTTAAAAAGTCTGGACGCTGTGTAAAATGTCACTAAAAGCTGAATGATATGATTTGCAAATTCTTTTTGTGGCAGCAGGGAAATCAAGTATTAGTTAGATTTTCTTAGTACCAACTGAGCATGGTTTAAACACCACAGCCTACCTGAGTATTGTTGCTGAGCGTGTCCATCCCTTTATGACCACAGTGTACCCATCTTCTGATGGCTACTTCCAGCAGGATAACGCACCATGTCACAAAGCTCACATCATCTCAAACATGACAATGAGTTCACTGTACTCCAATGGCCTCCACAGTCACCAGATCTCAGTCCAATAGAGCATCTTTGGGATGTGCTGGAACGGGAGATTCTCATCATGGATTCTTTATATTTTCCACGGCGTCCCAACTCTCTCAGGATCAGGGCTGTGGCTCTCCCTTGTTGTTGTACCACGATTCTTTTACTGAACCTCTGTATCACCTCCTTTCAGCTCTCGACTCAGAGCTCCCCTCCAAAGACGGACGACTTTCTGGGACCAGTCAAGTGTCTTGAAAAGAAGTAAGTGCTCTGCTCTCTGATTGGCTGGACTTGTTTATTGTTTGTGTATTGTTTTTGAGTCACCAGGCCCAGTGTTAATTCAGTCTCTCTCTTGGTTTCTCAGTTTAACTCGTGAATCCTGCGGCCTGGTGTTTTGTCCTCCGTGGCAGTCCTGCATAGATGGACAGTGCATTTGTAAACCGGCCTACAAGTGTCCCACAGAGGGCATGACCCCAGTCTGTACCCATGGCAACAAGCACCTCCTGTCCTACTGCCAGGTAATAACATGAGTGGTGACTGAACAAGACACTGACACTGGCAGCTGGAGTTAGATTCTCACTGGAGTCTCTTTCACTAAAGATGTTAAGGATGAAAACACCAACCAACACCAGTTAGTTTCCACTGCCACCAGGGGGCACCAGACTGTGACGCTGCTGTGAACGATAATTCCAGTGTCAGTGGAGCGTTTATTGGCCTCTGGGCTTTCCCTATTTAACAACGATTTTATTAAACACAAACTTAAATCTATATTGTACAGAAAAAAACCCAACAACAATGTATAGACCCTCACAGACGTTATCACTGTCATGATACATTTTCCTGCAGAGACTCTGCCCTCTGCCTGTATCTTTGTATTTTCTTCATATTTTGCTGTGGTGGGGACGTTCTTTGGCACAGCACGCAAGTGAGATTGGGACTTCATAAATAGGTGGCGACCAGGTGTCAGACTGTAAGCAGCGGACATCCAAGAGGAAGCAATTAAAATCTTGGACTCTGCACCAAAAATATGTAGATTCAATGAGGTGAAACGCCAAACAGACAAAGCTCGTTCCTAAATGAGAGTGAATCTGGGGTTGGTTGGTTCACACTTGCTGGAGATAGTTAGTTACAAACAGCAGCCGACAGTTCTTGCATTACATACCTTTAAGTTCCTGTTATTCATTTAGAGTTGTGGACGAGGATCACCATGTTGCACCGCCATGTTTCTACAGTAGCCCAGAACGGACAAACCAAACACTGACTCTAGTTAGAGATGTTCATGTTTTCACATCAGCCACTGCAGTTGGAGGAAAACACAGATTTTTAAAATTGAAACTGCTTCATTTAGTGTTTTTCCAGGTGTAAATCAGCAGGTCTGTTTGTTTCTGAGAGGACGAGACCTCTGTGGATCATTCAGCTCCTGGTAACAAACCTCCTTAACAATAAATACTGCAGGTTTTCTAACCAGGAGAAGTTTCAGCTGGTTGTAATCTGCATCCTCACCTCTAGATGCCACTAAATCTCCCTAAATCTGACACATTTCAGCTAACGGACAACCCGCAGTAAGACTCTCCCACCAAATGTAGCAATTTCAAGGTTATGTCATTAGTACATTTTATACATGGGGGCCATGCAGTGTGCTTTACTTAAATAAAAGCAAAAAGAAGCATTGGTGTAATATGATTTAAAGAAAGTGCATCACATAGTAATTAAAACGAGCAATATAATTAAAAGATAAGGTATATAAAATGAAGGTATAGCGTAGTGAAACAGAAATCAAAGATTAACCTTACAGATTAAAAACATCATCATCTGCATATTGGGAAACAATTTACATTAAAAACAACTGTTGCACATCAGGTCTGAATCCACAGTTCTGTGAAAATGCAAAACATCTGTGTGGATACATTTCACACGGGAACAATACGCACTAAATCAAAAATGTAACTTGTGTGTATTTATTTTGGTGCTTGAAGTAAGCGACAGAGCCTCCGAGCTTCAGCAGCGATATCTGATGATGTTTTGCTTTTAAAGCTTCCCAACAAAAGAAAAGATTTTGTAATGTCATTAAACAGACGTGGAGTTCAGTGATACATATTATTTGTGGCAGCAAAGCTTTGGAAGACACAACATGATCTTAAAGGTTTTTCTGCTTTACACCAAATGATGACTTTGTCCTGCAGGAAGTAACAGAAACATGGTTTTGTGCTTTGGACTTTGTGTTGGAAAAATGTGAGACAGAAGCTCAGTAACATGACGAAATACAGAAAACCATCGGTCACCAAGTCATAATGAACATTTGTGAACATAAACATGTCTGAATAAAGAGTCCGAGCCTTCTCTGAGATTAAAGATGATTTATTTTCCAGGCGATGGCTGTTTCCTGTCGGACCATGAAACCCTTCATGTCCCATTTTGGAAAAACCTGCACAGGTGTGTTCTCAGATTTATCTCGAGCTGTTCTCTGAAGTTTTAGCGTCCTTCATTAGAACCTTCATCTGCTGGTGTATCTCTCTTCACTTTGACCTTTGTCTTCGTCTCACTTCAGCTGCTCAACCAAAGTTCAGAGGTTCAGTCGAAGAGGGCACGGAGGTGGTCAGGCTCTTTGTTCCCAGCACTGGGAGCACTGGAGGATGTGGTGAGGAGTTGCTGGTGTGTCAGGAGCTGTGGGACATGGCTGCTGCTAACGTGGCCTGCAAGGCGGCTGGGCACCCTCTGTGAGAGGAGTCATATTTTACATTTCATAATGCACACACACTGTAAATATACTGGAAACCATTAAAAACCTTTTGTGCCTAAACGTAACCAAACATTAACCAAAGCTTTGACATTGAATTCAAGTAATTGTGTAAAGTTTTAACACATCAGCTGCACATGACACGTACAAATGTAATGTATCTGTGGTTTCATTATTCTGCCCATTGGGTTGTCTGATTCTGACTGATCGACAGTTTCCACTGTGATTTTAAATGTCATGTTGCGTGTGCGTGCAGAGGTGCAGCGTCTGCTGGCACCGTGTCGTACATCTCCCTGAAGAGCTACCATGAAGACCAGGAGTTACCCACCAAATGTGTGAGTGTCCGTTGCCAAGGTTACGAGACCTCACTGGCAGAATGTGTGATCTACGACAAGACCGCCATCGACAACGGGGAGATCGCCACGGCAACCTGCGTACAGCCGACAGGTGAGTGACTGTAAATGTAAATGTAGCCCTTTACAACAACCCACAGGTGAACCAAAGTGCTTTACAGAATATAACATACAGTTTAAACACAGAATAAAAGAATAAAAGTATTGCCACACTCCTGGGTATTAAAGGCCATCCTGAATAAATAAGTTTTTAGTTTTGATTTAAAGAGGCCCAGGTCAGAGATAGCACACATGTCACAGGGGAGCTTCTTCCAGAGCCTGGGTGCAGCAACTGAAAAGGCTCGGTCACCCCAGTGTTTATACTTAGACCTGGGCACTTCCAACAAAAGTTGGCTGGATGACCTCAAAGCCCTGCCATGCTCACGAACAGTTAAAATCTCAGATAAATAGATGGGGCAAGGCCGTTGAGAGCTTTTAAAACAAACATTAATAGTTTAAAATCAACTCTAAAATGGACAGGAAGCTGATGGAGAGAATAGAGGACTGGGGTAATGTGCTCTCTTCTACTAGTGTTAGTTAACAGACAGGCAGCTGCATTTTGAACAAGCTGAAGGGGGCTAAGAGAAAACTGGGAGATGCCAACATACAGTGCATTGCAGTAATCTAGTCTGGAGCTAATTAGAGCATGGATAGCTCTCTCCAGGTTGTGACAGCTCAAGAATGATTTTACTTTGGCCAGGAGACGTAACTGATAAAAGCTTGTCTTTATGACATTGTCAATTTGTTTATCAAATTTAAAATAACTGTCAAAGATCACTCCCAGATTTCTGACAGTAGGACTGAACGATGAAGACAAGGCACCAAAGCCAGTCGTCACAGTATCCCCAAACACAATGCACTCTGTTTTGTCTTCATTTAAATGCAGAAAGTTTTGGGCCAACCACTGCTTGATGTCAGCAATACAGTCAAGTAGGGAACTTTGTGCATCAGTTCTTCTAGGCTTCATTGGCAGATAGATTTGCATATCATCTGCGTAACAATGAAAAGAAAGCTTGTGCCTGGCTATAATAGACCCAAGTGGTAACATATGTAACGAAAAAAGAATAGGGCCAAGAATAGAACCTTGCGGGACCCCACACGAAAGAGAGGCACTGGAGGTTGTAGGTTGTGTTCTGCTTCCTCAGTTTGATCTGACTCTGTTTTCACTGGTCATGTGTGTGTGTTTGTTTCAGCAGGGGAGTGTGAGTTCAGGTGTGTGAACGGGAAGTGTGTGTCTCTCAGTCAGACGTGTGACGGAGTCGACGACTGCGGCGACCGCAGCGACGAGATGTGCTGCAAGAGTAAGACAGAAATACACAACACACATTCACATATAGATGTAACAACCACAGATATACTACATATACTTTACAAGAGTGTCATGTGACACCATTTTTGTTGTTGTCATCAAACTGGGTATTTTTTAAGAAGAGGTTGGGACATGACCATGAACTTAACTGGGTTTTTCTGAACAAGTTCGGGACATATCCAGTCATATTTTAAGCAACCACACAGGGTAATTGTTAACCAGAGTTTGGGACACATTCAGGCGTATTTGTAGCGACCAAAATTGGTCTGTTTTAACAAGAGTTCTGGACATGTCCAGCTGTGTTTGCAGCTATTAAACCAGGTGTTTTTTAACAAACCAAACAGGGTCTTTCTTAAAAAGTGCGGGACATATCCAGCCATGTTTGATGGGTTAGGGACACGTCCAGGCGCATTTGTGGCAACCAAAACTGGTCTGTTTTGACAGAAGTTCAGGACATGTCCAGCTGTTTTTGTAGATGTAACAACGACTGATATGCTCCATCGTTTATAATGTGAACCACTGTTTGTCTTCATGTCAGAATGCAGGAACGAAGCTTTCCGCTGCAGCACAGGTGTGTGTTTGCATAAAGAAGCAGTCAGGGATGGACAGATCGACTGTCTTAATGGCGAGGATGAATCAAAGAAACACATAAGTACTGAACACACACACACATCATTGAATTTGAATTTTGTGTAACATCTAACGTACATTTACTCAGCCCTGTCCCCAGAAGAAAATGTTGCCATGACATGTTTCTGCAAACCAGGAATGTTTCAGAGGTGACGTAGTTTATGAGCTGACTTTGTCAGTGGGAGGTGGAGGAGATGGTGGATCTTGTGACACGTAGGAGAGATGCCTGCTAAGCTGCAGACCACTGTTTGAAACCAACAAACAACAACAACAGTTTTTAATGAGTCATCGCTGTTTTTCCAGTGGGACTTGTGTTCCAAAGGTATTTTCAGCCAAAACATGATCTCATCCAAGCAATGTTTGTGCCTAAGCATAACCACATGTTAACCAAAGCACCAAAGCAAAGCTTCAACATGTCCGCTACAAAATAATGTACAAATTTGACGTATTCATGGTTTGCAGAAACGATCAACATTTGTTCTGGAGATTTTGTTAATTCACTTTTCACGGATCTGAACAGAGCAGCACTTTGTGAAAGACAGTGATATTAAACAGTGTCAGGTTTGATCTCATGTTTTGTTTTTCTATGTCCCACAGAGCCACAGATCTCACTTCCAATGAACACAGGTAACCATAGTAACCCTATCACCACTATGTAACGCCAGCACTTCTTGTTTGTTGCGACTGTGACATCAGTAATGTTGTTTTTGTGATGAAGAGGCTGATGATACATGTTTTCTGTTCTATTTCAGAATACATCTCTCCCAAAAATGGTTTGTAGTTTAATATTAACAGGCAACACACTACTTTATTTTTCCCCCATTTAGTGTTTATCATCAGTAAATCAACATGTGATAAATGTCGTACAACACACAATAATCTGACAAATATGATTTAGCCAAAGGAGAAAACAAAGCGAAAGAATTGTTTAATACGACTGATTCTTGGCAATTTTTTGAGGTAATTAAATGGGATCTAATTTTTGAAAAAAAGAAATACAAATACATATATATATATATATATATA